CAGGAGCACCACGCCGAAGCCGTAGACGTCGCTCTTGGCCGAGAGGTGGCCGGTGGCGACGTACTCGGGCGCGGCGTAGCCGCGCGTGCCGACGACGCGGGTGGAGACGTGGCTCTTGCCGCCGGTGGGGCCGGCGCGGGCGAGGCCGAAGTCGGAGAGCTTGGCGCGGTGGTCGGGGCCGAGGAGCACGTTGGAGGACTTGAGGTCCCGGAAGATGACGTCGCGGGAGTGGAGGAAGGCGAGCCCGCGGGCGACGTCGACGGCGACGGACACGCGCGTGGACCACGGCAGCGGCGGCTGGCTGCCCCGCCGGAAGAGGTGGTTCTCGAGGCTGCCGCGCGGCATGTACTCGTACACCAGCAGCTTGTTGCTGTCGGCGTCGGAGCAGTAGCCCACCAGCTTGACGAGGTTGTCGTGGTGGAGGTCGCCGAGGTAGGTGACCTCGGTGAGCCACTCCCGGTGGCCCTGGAAGCTCTCCTTCTTGAGCTTCTTGATGGCCACCATCATGGCGTTGGTGGCGCCGGGCCTGGCGGGGGCGAGCGTGGTCTCGTCGATCCACCCCTTGTATACGCACCCGAACCCGCCCTCCCCCAGGTAGGACGTGGAGCCGAAGTTCTTGGTGGCCGCCCGCAGGTCCGCCATGGTGAACGACTTGAGCGACGCCGGCGGCACCGCCTGCGCCTCCCCCGCCGCCGTCGGCGCCTCCGCCGGCTGCGGCGGCTTCTCCGGGCCGGAGCTGCTCCGGCGCGACGCCTTGGAGTTTGAGTTGGAGGTGCTGCTCCTCGGGTTCACCTCTGAACGAAACACAATCCACGCATCCACACGATTAATTCCCTCCCTTGATCGATGATCTCTCAACAAAAGAAAAATCAAGAAACAAAGATATCGAGGACGGCGGCGAGCGGCTTACTTGATTGGAAGGGAGTGGAGGCGCTGGCGCACTTGGCGGAGCCGCCCATGCACACGCAAAAGTTCCCCATGCCCGCCGAAGCTTAGCTTATCCGCTCTGCTCCCCGGCTAGGTGGCGCAGAGCTCCGGCCGATTGATCCAAATGGAGTAACAAGTCACAGTACGGAGGTGGAAGAAGAGGAAGAAGGATATAGGGAGGGGGGGAAGCGACCGGACAGGCTCGTTGGGTTGGCGCCTCTGATGACTTCTCGAGAGTGATATGCGGCAGCACCGGCAGCAGCTTGCTTGGATCGATCACTCCGTTGACTGACCACGGCCACGCCCGCCTGCCTTCTCCACGGAGTCAAGCACGAGCCGCCCTACACGTCGATTTCCAGCCTCTTGTCTTGATTAAAACGTGTAGGGTATTTTATACCAGATGTATTTCATAATTTCCACCGCTAGAAACCATGGCGTACGTACGTATTTTTGTTGTGTTCCGCTAGCTGCTGTCAAAGGCCTGTCCACGTCTCCAAGTTAGCAGTTTTGGGAGGGTTTCGCCTTTTGGGGCGTGGAAAGGTAAGTGGCATGGGGAGAAAATTGTCCGGGGGAAGGAGAAAGGAACCTGCAACAAATTACGGTTGCTTCGAAATTTGTTTTGCGTCAAAATCCCAATGTTGATTTCCCATGTCCTCAAGCTATGAGAACAAACATTCTTTCATAATAGACTGGATGGACAAATCATTACAACATGCGTGAGCACGTTTTTAGATTGTTACAGGCTTTTCGATTACTATTATTATTATTTTTCTCTCAAAAAACTATTTATTATTATTTTGCGGGGAATATGCGAGGTTTTTATATAAATGTATGAATAAACTTGTAAATCAACTCGCAATTAGTTAATTTGCAAATTTGAAAAATCAAGTTCGAGTTCTCAGTCAACTAAGAAGTAAGAATACATGTGCGCAAGCCATCGTATTCTCGGCCACATGTACCCACGCCTGCGTCATCACGGGATGGTAAGGCCTCTTTGATTCATAGAGAAATGGAGGTAAATCATAAAAAACAGGAAATTTGGCTTTGGTGGAACAATGTATCCATTTGATTCAGAAAAAAAGGCATATACAAAAGAGGATGATTTTTTCTTTGGTTTTACTTTCAGAAAAAAAGAAATTTTACGATCCATTCAATCTTCTATTTTGGCATTTCTATGCACTACGGCCATGGCAAAGTTCATAAGTTGCACAATGACAACCTACCTTTACCTTTTGCATATGCTTTAAAGTTGATTTGAGTGTTGAGCATGCTTTTTTAGGATTATAAAGTGTTCGCCATATTCCTGCTAATCAAACCCTCAGTTCTGTAAAATGCTCGTGTTTTCACAAATCTCTGTTTTGCACATGCAACCCTATAATATTCGTGTGGTTTCACTATTCGTACATTTTCGAAACCCTCCACAGCGAAGAACCCAAAAAGAAAAAGAAAAGGAAACCTGGAATGATAAGTTGGTGTCCCTCATGCTTCCATGGCAAATTGGTACCCGGAAGGACAAGAGCGAACAAGTGTGAGGCGGACGGTATTGTTGTGGTTCACGTGACATCTCGCGGGATCCATCTTTTTTTCTTTTGAAAGACCCAGCAAGCTGCTGGCATTTCATTGATTTAGCAGAGGAGAGCGGAAACAAGGTTGATCAAGTGATCGGGTGGATGAAAGAGTTCAAGAAAGAGAGGAAGAATGTCCATAGGCTCTACCCTAGGCTAATCTCTCGCATCACTTGTCCCAAAGGGGTGCTCAAAACACTTTGCTCCGGCCAAAACGCCATAGCTCTATGCTTAGCCTGATTTTCTTGATGACATCCTCTCCATTGGCTTCTTTTCCTCTGAATGTGCAGCAATTTCTTTCGTGCCAAATTTCCCAACAGACAAGAATCAGCATGGGCAGGATGGCCATCTCACATTGAGTTTTTTCTACTAGTGTTTGGATATGGCGCTCTTGTTAGTTAACATTTCAAATGATATTTCGTACGTTCTACGGTGTCTGACTATTGACATTTGGATACCGTCAATGGCTTGCCTGCGTACAGCTCACCGCCATACACTGACCTCTTCTTCATTTTCCTAACACATCACGCATTGAGGACGACCGAGGCGATACAATAATGAATCTACAAGTTTATGTGTACGAATATATTTGTAAATTGTAAAATGGACCGGCAATTAGTTAATTCTCAATTAGTGAGATTATATTTTTTCACTAGATTTATACTATTTTTTCCCTTCTTCACTAGAATATTTTTTAGCCTTTTCACTAGATTTTTTTTTAACAAAACCGATTTGTCAGTCAACTAAGACATAAGCATATTAACACAAATCCAATTCATTTGCAGTTATGTGTATTCATGTGCGGGTCATCCTTGAATTGTAAGGGCCTATATGTTTCATAGGGAAATGGAGAAAAAACATAGACATAGGGAAAAAATTGGTGACACAATTTATCTATTTGGTTCAAAGAAATTGATTATATAAAAATTGAGATTTTCTTCTTTGCTTTGAGTTTCACAAGAAAAAAAATACAATCCACTCAAACTTCTATTTTTCTTCGATGGCTATTTTACATACTCTTGTAAATGCTCTTTTTAGATCTTAATACAAATGACAAACATGACTTGTGCGTGTTCCGGGGAAATGCAGTAAGAACAAGGCAAAGGTCACAAATTAGATAACAACAAACTAAGCTTACTTTTTCATATGTTTTATCTTGGTTTGACTATGCTTTTATGATTAAAGTGTTTTTTCGTATTCTTGCAGATTAAACACTGGATTCTACAAAATTCTCGTGTTTCCACTAACCTCTGTTCTGCGCATGCAACCCTATAATATTCCTATGTACTCCCTTCATTCCTGCCAAAGCGTCTTACATTTACTATTCATACATTTTTGAAACCCTATAACATTCCGATGTTCTCACAATTCGTACATATTTTCGTAGGACGGTCCTGATCAATGAAGCTAAAGAAACAGAGAGGGCGGTGGAAGAAGAAAAACCTGGAATTGCCGAAGCTGGTGCATATTGCAGAAGTTGGTTCCATGGCAATTAAGAACCGGGCATGTGTGAAAAGCGGACAGTATCACCGTGGTTCAAGTGACATCTCTTAGGATTGACTACCACTAGTATTTGTACACTTCGTACGTTCTACGGCGTCTGCTCCAAACAGTCGCCATTTGGATACCGTCAATGGCTCCGCCTGTGCACAGCTCACCCCCATTACACACATTGACCTCTATTTGCCCCCCTATCGACGCATCACGCATACAGCGAAAATTGAATGGAAGTCAAGCCGGCGAGGCGATCCGATGATGGACCTGCATGCAGTTTTATATGCCGATTCGTGAATTCTCAACAAACGGAGCAGACGTAAGCGGTTGAACTGGTCTACCCACTGGATGACAGGACAACGAATCAAATACCATAAAACAATCCACCGATTAGATATGGTCCTAATTTCGTCGGATCTGATGAATACACGACGCAACAGCCAACGGAACCGTCCTACATGGCTCTGACTTTTTTGGGCTGTATAGCCAGAGAAAGTAAGTAAGCTGACGAAATCTTCATCAGTGACGTAGGCGTCTGAATAATTCAATCTATGTTTGCGGTGCGCCACGATCACGATGACGACGACGACGACGTGCTTAGATTGACCGTGATCAGGTCAGTCAAAGCAGGAAGCAGGATAGTACGCCGACAGATGGCGGAAATCTGTCACCCGGTCGTGTTGTCATTACCTCCAATTTGTCACAGACGTCGTCATGTCAATCCAGTGAGTAGCACGTAAGAAAGTTGTTTGCCTCCTCCTTTATCATCAGCTTCCTGGAAGCAGGGTGCGGGCACAGGTTGATCTTGAAATGCAGCACGCTTTAGTCTGTGTACATCTTTTTCTGCAGAAGAAGATGGTGGTGTTGTGTTGTCAGTCAAGTCGGTCATCAGGGTAGGGTTCCCATTATGCTTCCTGGAAGGAGGACATCGGGACAGTCTGCACCGGCACGGCAAGATCAGCTTCTTTCTTGTCTGTCACCTACAGGTCTCAGCAACGTGTTATACTAACAAGATTATCCACCAGACTTCCTGCTTCTCAGGACTTTCACGGCCTGGCTAGCATCCACATGGTGCAACCCATGCTGCCTCAGGCCAGACTTGCCGTTGTCCTTCCCCTTCTTGAGCGCTTCCAGAAAGTACTGGGCGTCTGTCTCTCGCATGGTCAGCAGCTTCAGAGAGTCGGTTACAAACGGGAAGAAGGCCTCAGGTCTGGAACAGTAGGGCCTGAAGATGCGGAGGAGGGCCTTGGTATCGACTCTCAGCTGCACGACTGCGGGGTCAGAGAACTTCACTTGGCCCCACCGTATGCTGCTGTACACGAAGTAGTCGAGACCTTCTGCTATGCTCCTCCACAGGTCAAGGAAATCCTTGGAGTTGAGATACAGCTTCAGCTTCGTGGTTCGCTCTCTCAGGACTTCTAGGCTGGCGACGAATCCAGGCAATACCTCTAGGTTTTCTTCATCAGGAACCTGATCATCTGGTTGGTTTTGTTCATTTGATGATCCAATGCTTTGGACGTAGTCCCAGGACAGGTCTTCAAACTCAATCAGGATGGAGGACATGATCTGTTCCAGAAAATCAGTCCCTAGCTTAACCAAAAAGGCAATCTCGTCTGCAAAGAAAGAACACTGACGTTGGGCACTGTGTTTGTGGATTTGTTCTTGGTTTCCATCAACATAATTCCCATGCGCACCCAGCTCCATGAAGGCGGTATCTTCACCCCATTCCCGAACAACATATTCACAATATCTAGCTGCATTAATTGCATAGGAAGCTTTCAACAGAGACTCATCTTGTAAAGCTGTATTTGGCAACTGCAATGCCTCACATCCCTCATGCAACAAAACAAAGAAGTCATTCAAGAACTGGACTGAAGTGGATCTGCAATACTGGATCTTCGTCCCCTTAGTTGGCAGAGCATGACTTCTTTCAATCATCGTTGATGCAGTTTTGACGACAAATTCAGAAACAGGTGGAGCTTTGTAATCTTCTCTCGTAGACAGAAGAAATCTAGCAGTGGTTTCCTGGTGACCAAGCTCATCCTGAGGATCAATACTACATAACCAACTTGCCTCATCCTCTAATTCAGATTTGAGCTTATTCTGTGCAGAATTAAGCTCTATATCAGCCCATATCCGAAGCCAATCAGAATGTCCAACGTATATTGAAAAGACAGATAATGACCTTGAGAGCCCTTCAGAAACCAATGCAACTTTCTGAATTCCTGAATCTGCAAGCAGCTGCATCCTTTTATCAAAAGTAATCATCTGGTCATTCAAATGCATCCAAGATGAATGTACTTCAAGTTTGTCATCAGTACGATGATAAGCGGTGACAAGGGGTGGGAAAATTTGCGTCTCAAGGTATCCTAGAAGCATTTTTACCATTCCAGTTACCCAAGATTCTTTGGCACTTAAGCCCACAAGTCTTGCTTTGTCAATCAAAGGCTGCAGTACATCATCCACTCCATCCATGAAATCCTTTGTTATCTTGTAAACAAGAGCAAAAATAAACTCTGGTTGTTCAGACCATTTAGAAAAATGATATTCCATCCTTGACACAATAGGGTGGACCAATTCATCAATTGCCCAAAGTCCATTATCGAGGCACGCAGTTTTATCGAAGTACTTCGAATCTGACAGGCTAGGAGTAGTTGCCGCTGGCATCTGGCATTGACGCACTTCACGGTTGGCTTGCACATGTTGTAGAGCACACAGTGCTAGAAAGCTTTCAGAATACTTCTCTTTATTTGCCTCATTCATCAAGATAAGGGGATTTGGAACTTGGGAGTACTTATCCTTCTCCATGTCAGGTGAAGACAAGGAAGGTGGCCAGCCTAGTGCAGCAAGTAGAGCTCGATAATCTGTAAGTGCTTGAGGCCTCAAAATGGCTAGAGTCTTGTCCACTCTTGAATCAACCGCCACTATAAGATTTGTCCACTGTGGCCTACTTGTGCTGATCCTTACCAATTCTCGCTCAATATCTCTCACAGCATCAACAGCCTGGAGCAACTTTTCTTGCTTCCGTTCCACCCCCTACATTACAGAAAAGAAAGAGTAACACTTAATGAAGGATTACTGCTGAGAGGCCTATATGAGCATAATCTATTATTAGTTTCATCCAGAACGGCGAAAGGAGAAAGGGAAGACAAAAGGTTCTTACGTTTGATGCCCGGCGAAGTACTGATGACAGGTTCAACTTTGAGGCCTGTCTAACAATGGAATATGCTGCATCTTCTAGGTTACCAACCAGAGCTTCCAACTGTAGAGTAGCTTCTGGAATGTCAGCACAGCAAAGTTATAGAAAGCACTATAAAATCCTACATCATACTAGGAGGACATGGAAGGAGAAATAATAATACAATAGGGACATCTACCACACCAAAGAGGTTCTCTTTTTGCAGAAAAGGACAAATTACTTGTGGTCATGCACATTGCAGGAAGGTAAACTGATCACACCAAATTTAAGCAGTTAAAACTGTTATAACTGGTACAACCAGTTTTATGATCTGTGGAAGACGACATTTATTCAGGAAATTCTGAATGCTGGTACTAGTTTATTTGGCGAGGAACTTCTCAACTGAGTAAGAGCTTTACATGGATTGCCCCCTCAGTTCACATGGTCAGTCCCTCAGTTGGACGTTCGGTTGGGAATTAATGCATTCCTTTTGGTGTTAGATCAAGTCATCAAAGTAGTGTGAGGTATGAGCAAACCATATTGCAAGCACTATCTTTGGACAGAGAAACTGTTGACATGCCCCCTTGTGAGTTGTGATCCAATCAAGCATAACTTGCTAACATACAAGATTCAGAGCGAAATTTGACAGGTAAAACCACTTGTGAGTTGTGATCCAATCAAGCATAACTGGCTAACATACCAGATTCAGAGCGAAATTTGACAGGTAAAACCACTCACAATCTAATTTTTTCCCACAGCTACTGTTTTCTGAAAAGCTAAACGATTAATCATCTAAAACATTCCTCATTATATCAAAAAAAATCTAAAACATTCCCTTCGGGAAATGTAGGATCCCCAATTAGTCAGATCGTGCAACTTCACAGTTAGGAGAGCATGACACGAAGAGAGGAACAAACGCTCACCCGCGTAGAGACGAATGGTGTCGATCCGCTCGATCTCCCGCACGATCGCCGGCAGCTCCACGCCCGGAGCGCTCGCTTCCCCTTGGTCCCCGGCAGGGATGTCTCCTCCTACGAACAGAACAAGGAACCCCCATTGAGACCCCGAGCCAAATCCGCGACAGGGAACCGAATGAGTCGGAACAGGGGCAAAACCCTAGGGTTTAGTTTAGGGGAGCGGACCTCCGGAGCGGATGCGGCGGAGGCCCGACCGGGCCTCGGCCGAGCGGGCGAGCCAGGAGGCGGAGCCGGAGGCGAGCTGCGCCTCGAGGCGGCGGAGGGACGCCTCGAGCCCCGCGCACTCGCGGCGCAGGAGCTCGGCGAGGGCCGGCGCGGCGGTGAGGTCCTCGGCGGAGGCGAAGTGCGCGTCGAGGAAGCCGCGCAGGGTCGCCGCCGGGGGCTGCGGCCGCGGGGTCGACATGGGCCGGTCGGTCGGTCGGTCGGAACTCGGGAGGGAAGGCTCGGGCCAGAGAAAAGAAATCGAAGTTCGAGAGGTGTGGCCTCGGCGGGGGACGGCAAAAGCAAAACGGTTTTGCCTCTCACCGGACGGCGCCACGCCACATGCGAGAAATATCTTCTTTTTTTTGAGAAATCACATGGGAGAAATATCATCAGGTGCTCCCATGCTCCACTTTTCCAAAAAAAAAAAATATTTAGATGTTTCAAAATATTATATTACAAAAAAAGTTTATGGATGTTCACAAGACATGTGTCTAGGATCGGCAAAAAGTTCAAACCAAAATTCGAAGTACACATCAGGGAAAAAAAAGACAATTTCAACATGAATAGTGTCAAAGACAAAACCAAAATGACACTATTCACATCTGGATTTGTTTTTTTTGTTTCTTGGTGGGTATTTGAAATTTTGATTTGGATTTTTCTTACATATCCTAGACACATGTGTTATGAACCTTCACGATATTTTTTGAAATTTTCCAAAACACCTAAATATACTTTTCGAAAAGTGGTAGCATGGGGTCACCTTAAGTTTGGAGCATAAGATATCTACCTGGCGCCATATATTGCAACTCATAAACAATTCATGAAATAGGCGTTCGCCCTATTTTATATATAAAGCAACAACCGATCAAAGTACACGGCCGAACGATATAAGGTGGTGGGGTAGTCCACATACAAAATTGTTCCCAGGATAACGGGATCACGCAGGACGCATGCGACTACGCTACCGAAAGAGAACACGTGAAGATTTGAGTACAATGTCGCTCTATGCCCTAGAACACCTAAGGTCCACGACAACACCCTCAGAAGGGAGAATGGCGCTAAGTTTCGCCGCTGCCTAGTCCAAAATGGACAAGGGTCTTCACCCAGAACCCTGACACGGAGAGGGGCACCTTGACGACATCTTCAAGAAGAGAGTGGCGCCCACAAGCGTGAAGTGCAAAGGGTAGACACAAAGGGCGTGTTTGGTAGCCATAGTGGTCGGGCCTGGCTGGCTCAAGCCTGACTCATATGAGGTTGGGTGAGCAAATGCAACCTCTAAACCAACATCTGCAACTTTTTTGGTTGTCCACATTTAGTTCTCATGCATTAGGGGCGAGCTTAGCGCACGGTATTTGGTTGCATGCTTGTGTACGCACAAACACAAGGCCTGCTGTTTGGCTGCATGCAATGCCTGCTATCTGATAAGCTCTTCGGTGCGGTGGTGAGGTTACTGATACGTCTCCAACGTATCTATAATTTTTTATTGTTCCATGCTATTATATTATCTGTTTTGAATGTTTTATATGCATTAATATGCTATTTTATATTATTTTTGAGACTAACTTATTAACCTAGAGCCCAGTGCCAGTTTTTGTTTTTTCTTTTTGTTTTTGAGTTTCGCGAAAAATGAATATCAGATGGAGTCCAAACGAAATAAAACTTTGTGATGATTTTTCTTGGACCAGAAGACACCTGTAGGACTTGGAGTCCAAGTCAGAAGACCTACGAGGCAACAGCAAGGGTAGAGGGCGTGCCCTAGGGGGGGCGCCCCCTGCCTTGTGGCCCCCTCGAGAGTCAACTGACCTACCTCTTCGTCCTATAAATTCACATATATTCCAAAAACCTCAAAGGGAGCCATGAAAATGCTTTTCGGCCACCGCAACCTTCTGTTCCCGTGAGATCCCATCTTGGGGCCTTTTCCGGCGATCTGCCGGAGGGGGATTCGACCACGGAGGGCATCTACATCAACCCTATTGCCCTTTCGATGAAGTGTGAGTAGTTTACCTCATATCTACGGGGCCATAGCTAGTAGCTAGAGAGCTGGATTAACGAGTTTCTCGGCTCGTTCAGCTCGTTATCATTAAGCTCATTATCGTTAAGCTCGTTATCATTAAGCTCATTATTATTAACGAGCAAAAGCCTCTGTTCAGCTCGGTTCGTTATGGGATCGTTATGCTCGCGAGTGTTCACGAGTGCTCGTTAAGGTAGTAAACAACACAAAATAATCCCATGATCCCATAGAAAATTCATAATAGAATAAATTAAACAAGGATAAGGTAATAAACAACACACAAGAATCCCATGACCCCATCAAAAATTCAGGCATAAATATAAACAAGGACGTTTGGCTCCTAGCGGCTAGCTTCTGGTTGGCTCTAGGATCTCTTGGCGGCTAGCTCCTAGGTCTAGGAGAAGTGCCGAAGTGGGCTAGGATGCTAGGCCCCTAGGCTGGTGAAAGGATTGAGAAGAGGTGTCTAGAGGGGGGGTGATTAGACACTAAGTACCAAAAGTTGCAGTTTTTAATTTCTTTAAGTTGAAGTGGAGTTTTGGCACAAGTTTAACGAACACAATACATATCAAGCAAGCATGCAAAGAGTATATGAGCATCGGAAAGTAAAGCATGCAACTTGCAAGAATGTAAAAGGACGGGATTGGAGTGTGCAAACGCAATTTGGAGACACGGAGATTTTCGAGACGTGGTTCCGATAGGTGGTGCTATCGTACATCCACGTTGATGGAGACTTAAACTCAGGAAGGATAACGGCTGCGCGAGTCCACGGAGGGCTCCACCCACGAAGGGTCCACGAAGAAGCAACCTTGTCTATCCCACCATGGCCGTCGCCCACGAAGGACTTGCCTCACTAGGGTAGATCTTCACGAAGTAGGCAATCTCCTTGCCCTTACAAACTCTTTGGTTCAACTCCACAATCTTGTCGGAGGCTCCCAAGTGACACCTAGCCAATCTAGGAGACACCACTCTCCAAGAAGTAACAAATGGTGTGTTGATGATGAACTCCTTGCTCTTGTGCTTCAAATGATAGTCTCCCCAACACTCAACTCTCTCTCACAGGATATGGATTTGGTGGAAAGAAGATTTGAGTGGAAAGCAACTTGGGGAAGGCTAGATATCAAGATTCATATGGTAAGAATGGAATATCTTGGCCTAAACACAAGTGTACGTGGTTCTCTCTCAGAAAAGGTAAGTTGGAAGTGTAGGTTCGTTCTGATGGCTCTCTTCACGAATGAAGAGGAGGTGGAGGGGTATATAAAGCCTCCACACAAAATCTAACCGTTACACACAACTTGCCAATCTCGGTAGGACCGAATTGATAAACTCGGTCGGACCGATTCAGCAAATCTAGTGACCGTAAGGATTTTTGGTGGGACCGACATGCAACTCGGTAGGACCGATATGATTAGGGTTAGGGCATGACGTAATCTCGGTGAGACCGATTACACAAACTCGGTAAGACCGATTTTGGTAACAAGCTAACCAGAGAGTTGGTCAGGTAAACTCGGTTGGACCGATTCGCTCATTTCGGTGAGACCGAAATGTTACGAAAAGGAAACAGAGAGTTTACATTGCAATCTCGGTAGGACCGATTATGCAAACTCGGTGAGACCAATTTTGGTAATAGATTCATACAGAGGGATTGCAATCCTATCTCGGTGAGACCGAGATCCCTATCGGTGAAACCGATTTGCCTAGGGTTTGTGGCAGTGGCTATGACATCTGAACTCGGTGGCGCCGGATAGAAAGAATCGGTGGGGCCGAGTTTGACTTTTGGTTTAGGTCATATGTGATGTGAGAAAGTAGTTGAGGGTTTTGGAGCATATTACTAAGCATTTTGAGCAAGAGCCTCATTAAGCAACACCTCATCCCTCCTTGATAGTATTGGCTTTTCCTATAGACTCAATGTGATCTTGGATTACTAAAATAGAAAATGTAGAGTCTTGAGCTTGGAGATTGAGCCAATCCTTTGTCCTTAGCATCTTGAAGGGGTTCCACATCCTCTAGTCCATGCCACTTCATTGTTGAACTTATCTGAAACATACTAGGTAAAAGTGTTAGTCCAACAAGAGATATGTTGACATTAGTTACCAAAACCACCTAGGGAGCACTTGTGCTTTCAATCTCCCCTTTTTGGTAATTGATGACAACATACATCAAAGCTTTAGATAAAGATATAGAGAATAGTAAGTAAAGCTTTGGAAAGACATGTAGCATGCATAGGCTCCCCCTACATGTATGCAATCATGTGAATATGGAATATAGGAGCATGTGAATGGATAAACATGACAGAGTAAGCAATGTGTTACATGTATCTTGGCTATATGCATCAGAGCAAATGATGTGAATATGAGAAATGTACCTTCATGCTCATGAGTCCTTCTTACAAACAGTATGTACATCAGCAAGAATTTCTCATACACATGACTGTGATGCATATACTTACCTTGTGGTCTTGAGTTGGCTTAGGATGGGAACCTGCGTAAACAAGGTTAGATAACACAGATACACCTACTGCCCAGAGCAAACAAAAGAAACCACAAGAGTACCAAGACTGGGATGACATGTAGAGTGAGTACTAAGTACCACATTGGATATAGACATGTCACCAAAGGTAAAGATGTGCAATAAATTCAAGGATTTCCTTCCCTTAGATGTCTTGCCCCCCCCCCCTGAATCTTAGCATGGGATACCGGGAGAAGATAGGGAACATAAACTCAGAGCAAAATCAGAGCTCAAAGGAAATTAACAGAGCTAATGCAAATGAGCAAATATGAACATGTCTTTCCCCTCTTGAAGACATGCGACTTCTCTCCTCTTGAAAACCAAGCATCTGGGGTCCTTGATGATTACTCTTTCTTCCCTTGAGTATTCTCTCCCCCTATAGATATGATTAAGCTTTGATGTGATCTCTCTCTCCCCTCTTGACATCAATTTCCAAAAAGGGTTCTTCTGGATTTCTGTCATGATGGGTTTGGTCCTTGAGTCACAGAACAAAGCAGCAAGTTGAATGGGATGCTGGTCGAGGACAAGATTCATTGAGTGGATCTGGATCAAAAAGAATGCAGAAACAAGTGGCAAGATGACTTTCCAGTAGTGAAATCGGTGACACCGAGTTGTATGGTTCGGTTGTACCGAGAGGATTCGGTTGGACCAAAGCATCAGATCGGTGAGACTGAGTTCATCGC